ACATGTAATAATCAAGAAATTTTTATTCGACAAGTTTGTGATTCATACAATTGATACTTAAAATACATGGACTCTTATTACATCTTATGGTGTGTTTGGATTATTGAGGATTTGGATTTGATCCAAATCCCTTATTTGGATATACAAAAATTTATGAATTGAAATTTGATTCAAATCCAAATTCATTTTAAATTATAATTCTTTTGTAATTTCAGATTCTATCTAAACTCTAGTCATTTAAAATTATAATTACTTCACACATGATGTTCTCTTCATATTTTTACTATTGATATATTTATTACTCTCATATCTTTTATCATCAATCATCAATTAAAAAATAGAAATAAACTCATTGTTTTTTATTTTTTATTTTTGTTTAGAATCTTGATTCATTCCCCTTCTTCATTTGAAATTTTTTAAACTACCCAAATAAATAATTTTAAATAAGTGGATTTCAAATGTGAGATTGGAAATGTAAAATTTTAAATAAAAAATTTAAATCTAAATTCATCACTTCAAATGCTATCTTGAGAATTTGCTTCTTATTAAATATAAATCCCCATTTTCAGATCAATCAAAACTGAGGTGTGGGTCTGTGTGTGAACGAGAGGCAATGATTTAGTGCTGATATTATAAAAGTGGTAAATTTGGAGATTTAAAAATCTCTTATATATCATTTTGTAAACTCCATCCAATGATTAAGTGCCACGAAGATTTACTAGTGCAATGCGTTGGTATACAAGGATAAAAGAATATGACTCCCAAAATGAGCTCAGTATATAGACTTACGTTGCATGTAATATGAGAGATGAGGCAGGAAGAAGACGGAAACTTGGGTCGTCAACTTCCATTTTTTTTTTTCGCCCTAAAAAGTCAAGTAGAGATGAATTAACTTAAACATGACCACAGAAAAGTTTGAAATGATCAAACTTTGAGCTCTCATGTCATGACCAGCTCTTTTCACTTTCATTGAATATATGGATGAAAAACTACAAATATCAATTATAGTCACAATTAGGTTGTATTCAATGCGCTTCAACCACAGTAAGAAGGGTTCTTCATTTTCGTTGACCTGTCAAACCATATACATGCGTAGCATACTTGAAAACCTTGTCATGATGATGATGATGATGATGAACTTAGCTAGTATAGTCACTCAGACAATAATTTTCTTTTGTTATAAATGTTTTATAATAATTTAAAAAATTCCTATTTATACAAGTTTGTCATGCAATTGATACTTAAAATACACTGAATATCTTATTACATGTCAGCGAAATTAAATTTCCTACAAATCCCCATTTACAGATCTTATTTTTTTTAAGTGAATAGCCATAAATAACTTAAATATGACCCTAGAAAAGTTTAAACATATGGATGGAAAACTACAAGAAAAAATTGACAATAAAATACCTTTAAAATATATAAATGACAAATAAATATTGTGAAATAAAATAATTACTTTGTCGCTTCTAGGAATTTATTTGACATTTTAGTTTTTTATGAAATGACATATTTGTCCCTAGTCCCTCCCTCCCTCTGCTTCCTTCTCTGTCCGCCATGCTTTGCCTTTCAATCTTCCTCTTAATAGCCTTTTCATGCGCATGCAGTTGTCAGCATGGAGCCATCTCTTTTCATTATCTTGTTTAATCGCCAAATCTTTACAAGGTTGTATAAATTTTCCTGTATAAACTATTTGTATAAAAGGTATTTTATTGTCAATTATAATCACAAGGTTGTATCCAAGGCGCTTCCAGCACAGTAAGAAGGGGTCTTCATTTTCGTTGATCTTGTCAAACCATATACAAGCGTAGCACACATGAGAACCTTGTTATGATGATGGTGATGATAAACCTAGCTAGTATCCTATATATGCAGCCACTCAGACAATAGTTTTCTGTTGTTATAAATGTTTTATAATGATTTTAAAAAAATACGCATTTGTTATTTTATTTGTTGCATGACAAAAATAGAGGAATTTAATTTAAATAAATAAGCGTGAACTTATGAGCGTTATTAAACTCTTCTATAGCATATAAGATCAAGAACAAAGATATTTTCCGTATTTTGTATCAAAAAATATGTTTTCCATACTTATAATCAACGACTAAATAATTAAATAGACTGGGGAAAATAAGCCGAGCACATATGAAATGTGGAATAATTTTCTATTGTCACAAAGTCACACAAATTGGCCAATAAGGTTGATATATTTTTCAATAGAGATTGATTGTACGTTGAAAGATCACTACAAATGTATCAAGAGAGGAAGGAAAACTACAGATGTAAATTGTGAAGGAACCCAATCCCAATGTGGCCTCTGATGGCACTGTTTGTACTGGTGGCCAAAATTTTCTACCACGTGCATGTTTGGATAATTGAAATAATTAATTTTAAAATTGAAACTCATGATTTTGTGAAAAACATTATGAACACTTTTATTATCGGATAAATTGGCTCACTGCCAAAAAAAAATCTTTTGCCTAGAAAATATAGACTAAATTTTTAAAAATTTAACAATATGACTGATTTACATTGATATATAAGGAGTTTATCATTAAAAATTCAAAAATTTACAAATGTTTTATCATTGATATATAATGGTATATCATTGACAAATATAATAAATTAATCATAATATAAATATAATAAATGTTGGAATGTTTGTTTGGTTTAATAATATAACATGGTTTATATATGCAAAAGCCACTTTATTATATATCAAAATCAATTATGAACATAAAATCATGATTTTCTTATTAAAAATATCCAAACACCCCTATTTAATAGTGTTTCAATATTTTTTTTTCAAAATCATGAGTTGCTTGATTTCTAATTTTTCTGTTCAATTATACTTTAAATCATTCTTATTAAATCCCTGTGTGTCACTTTTCTGTTTATAGATTACTTTCAAACTGCTAGAAATTTTTTTTACTCTAGCATGGTTGCAAGTCATGTTGTAAAATTTGTGAAGTAGTTGATTTTTTTTTTTCAATAGTGTGATTGGTATGAATATTGTTAAAAAATCATGATGGAGCGGTGGAGAGATGCTGGTAAAAAAAGAAAAAGAAAGGCGATGAAGAAAGATGAGTAAAGTATTTGAGTTGCAAAAAGATAAAAGGGAAATTAACGGAATACTTATGCTATGAAAGCGCGATGATATAACAGAGGTGGTGCCTTGATGATGTGAATTAATTAGATAAGAGAAAAGAAATCCAAAAATTTGGATTTGATGAGTGGCCTAACTTCACTTACTCAATAAATATCTCTTCTGGTACAATAACAACTATATAATTTAACTGAATGGCTATTAAAATTTTTGTCATATAATATTCAGAAAGTACTAAATCTCAAATTTTTGTAGTGAAAAACATATATATAAGAGTATTTTTATTGTGATGATTGTTTTCAATTTTTGGAGAGAAATATATTTTAGTAATTTTCAAGTTTTAATGAAATTCAATAATTATAATTGAGACATTTATTGTCTACTTATCAAATTCAAATGGAAGGAAGGAGAGGGACAGCAGCACGTAGGAAAGTAGTCTTAGAACGGGGGAGGGGGTGGAGGAAACAATCGCCTCAAAAATTAAATGCCAAGGTGAATGTTATGGCTTGTGGAGTTTTTGTGACTTGTTCATTCTCCAATGAGTTGTTGTTAATTATGTATAGTTAGTTTTTCAAAATTGAATGAATGCTTGTTTATGAATCCATGAAATCTTAAAAATAATTCAGTCTTTTATCGTAAAATCTTATTTTCATATATGTACCTAGGGATGTAATGAAATTTCAGATTTTTAAAGTCATTCTTTGATATAAAAATTCTCATGTGGACCTTAAATGATATTTTAGATGTCAAGGCACGTTGTGGATTTTTCCACTCCCTCGCTCTTCTGTCCATCCAAGTACTTGGAATTTCGAAGATCAGCTTTATACTTTTCCATGCCGTCTCATTTGAAGAGGAAACAAAACAAACGACCAAGAATCAAATATTATTCATGTTACAAAATGAATTTGAGGGTGAAGACCATTTATTCCAAAAGCACCACTTACCGTTGCCCTTCGACGAAATTGCTTCCGGATAAGGAATATGGGGATGAGAGTTGAAGAGCACACTCATGCACACACAACCACATACTTCACACAATATATTCCAAAAGGATGGAATCTCCCCAAGTCAAGTCAATTTGTTTCTATATGCATGGAAGATGGAAACTAGGGAAAAGTAAACGCCGAAAAAAAAAGATGATAATTTATTATTTAATATTTATAATTATTTTTGTTATTATTTTTACACTTGTTCTGGAGCAGGACCAATAATTCTCAATACACATTCAAAGTTGATTTATTATTCGAATTTTACTACAAATTAAAAGCACGAAACTACACACAAATATTAATTATCAAGGAACTTACAACCAACAGGGTGGGTTTAGTAGAAAAAGACTACTCTCTTACAACGTAGTGAACTAGTGTTTAAATAATGTAAATAAGATAAAAGACCAAGGGTAAAAATTACATATTTAATTTTATATACTTAATGTAATTGTTTCCAATTAATTTAGTATAAGCAGAGTTTAAAATTTTTGAAAATTTAAAATATTATTAATATCAAGAGTTAGTTAGAGGTAAATCAGGGATAAAAAAATTACACATATCTTAATTTGATTAGAAATAAGCATATTAAATTTATAAAATTTAGCATATAAATTTTCTTTAAAGAACAAATAGAAAACAATTAGAAATTACTTTCAACTCCCCGAATGCATGAGGTCACGGTAACATGGAGGTGAAAATTATTAGCCCATAAGTAAAACATGTAATTTCAAGTCCCTATTAAGAGAAGTGCTCATGTATATAGTAATTGACTGTGTTTTCAATAAAATTGTATTCAAGTAAAAGATACATATGCACAGTAGAAAAATGTAATTATTATAAAAAAAAACCTTAATAAAAAATAATTACTATTAATACACAAGTGTGCATCATTAACTATTAGTACTATTTTTCTTACTTCTTTTAAAAGTCTAAAAAGCTACTTTCCACTTATATAAAGGGTACACAAACCGCTGCACATCTTGGCTTGAATCTGAGATCTCAAGTTTCAGGTGAGTTCATCTCATGGAGAGGACGCCACAACGAATTCTATGGTTCGTCTTGATTCAACTTTTCCTCAAGTTTGGCAACCCTGCAGGTAAAGTTTGCTTGACATTTTGGCTAAACTAATTAGGACTCGCCTTCGTCCGACCTTATATGTTTCATTGGTTCACAGGTTGTCCTTTAATTTAAAACCAACCATATTATGTTGTAGTTTGATACATTTGTATCAGTTTTTGCAGAAACAGATCATTTCATAAGCATTGACTGTGGAGCCAGCAATGCATACACTGACCCACAAACTAAAATCTCGTATCAGACAGACACAGGCTTTGTAGAAACAGGAACAAATGCTATGGTAGCACCTGATAAAAGATATAATGTAGATGACCTTTACTTTGGGAGGCAATTCCAAACGCTGAGAAGTTTCCCAGAAGGAAAAAGGAACTGCTACATCTTGAAACCAAAACAGGGCAAAAACAACAATTACCTTATAAGAGCTTCCTTCGCATATGGGAATTATGATGGCAAGAATCAGACTCCATCTTTTGACTTGTACCTCGGCGTCAATCACTGGAAAGATATTTATCCGAACAAACGTTATCGATTTGCGGAGATTATCCATACTCCCACAACTGACACCATACATGTTTGCCTTGTCAAGTCTGGCAAAGGAAAACCTTTCATTTCTACATTAGAACTACGACCTCTCAGTAATTCTATATATCGGATCCCTTTCCCTTATCAAACACTGTTAATTCTTGAGGCAAGAATCGATGTGGGCTACATTAATTCCACGACTTCAGATAACTTCAGCAGGTGACTCCAAATTTATTATATTCTGTTTGTTTTTTAAATTGAAATTTATATTCTCTAGCATTATTCATTTTCAAGCTTTTATGGATTTTATATTGGCTATGTAGCTTGCTTCCATTCTTGCTTACCAAATTAAAAGGCATTAGCGTGTCCACATGTTCTGGGCCTGAGACCAATAACTCAGAACCCACAAAGACCAAGTCTTTGTCTCACCGCTAGCCATATCTCTGATACGAAAACATTAGATAGATTATCATATCATATCATAACGTAGATCATACTGTATCTTGTGTATTATCATTATATTCAAAGATTGTGTTACTCAACTAGATAGTATGTACATAGCCATCATTGAATACAACGAAACCTTCATCATCATAATACTCTTTATAGGGTGTGTTTGATTAGAGTTATTTTGAGGAGAGAAAATTGCTCCTTTTCCTTTATTTGGTTGATAAAAAATGAAGTCGAAGGGAGGTGAGCTTAAAAATTGGAGAGAAGAGAGAAAATTAAACATGACTAAATTGCGTCCATGTTATTTTGAAAATTTAAAATTATTTATAATATTAAAGAATTGCCTTTTTTTCCCTTTCTCTCTCTTATAATAAAATAAGTTTTATTACCAGATAAAATTTAATAAAGCATTCGTCTGTGTATAAAATTTTAATATTTTTTATATTGGAAGCAAAGGAAAAACGACTTCCCATAAAAATAAAAAATAAAGAAAATACATGAAATTGTCTTTCTCTAAAATTGCTAAAGAATAAAATTGGGAACATAGAAGAGGAAACAATAACCAACGTGCAAGACCTTCATCAGACGAATTATAACATTAACATATTGGTTCAATATTTTTTTCAACTAAAATTCAATATATTTTCTTCAAATATATATTGATAAATTATAATACTAATAAATTTATTTTTAAAAAACAATTATTGATATAACGTAAAAGTATTGACATTTTGAAAATATAAAATTAATATATTATAATAAATAAAAAATAGAAAAACTTTAATAATAGTGAAATTGTCAACTTATTATTAGCTGGTTCCTTTCCCTCCCCTCTCATTCAATCAAACCAAACAAAGGATCATTAACTCTCTATCCCTCCCCACGGAGTTAGATTCCCTCCACCATTGTCCCTCAACTAGATTGTCCAAATTTAAATTTTTGATTTTTTATTATATATATTAAAAAATATAAAAAAATATAAAAAACTTTTATTAAAGATACTTGATCACAAATTTGGACAATATATATTTTATTTGGATGGTTCAATTTAATATTTAAATTTTTTTATAATTTTTACTTTGGTAAATACAATATTAAAATGCATTTTTCAAAAACTATTTTTAAAAAAGTATAAATTAAAAATTTTAAATATAAACACTCAGAATAAATCTGAATAGTCAATTTATAAAAAAATTATTGTAAATTTTTATAATTTATATTTTAATAAATATAAAATAATAAAAATTACAAACTTTAAATTTAGACTATCTATAATAAATTAATCTAGACAGTCCAGATCCTCTATTCCGCTTAGGGAAGGAATAGTAGAGGATTCTGACTCCCTTCCAACCCCTCTCCTCCCCTCCTTTAATAAGAGATCATTAAATCTTTTCATTATTTTTGTTTCCTATTCTCTCATCGATGCTTAGCTGGATCTAAACTTAAGAGTCAAGGGTCATTTTTATCCCTGACCTTCACCTTTAGGGTCTACCAATGGCCTGAACTCAATTGATCGTCATTTTATATCCTTGAGGAGTCAAAATGGTGTGCCTCGTTAGCCCACCATTATCACAACACGCAACATAACGTTAGTTCCTGGTGCAATGGGTCCCACCATTTTTTATATTTTTTATAATAAAATATTGGGTAAGGGTCACTTTCTCTCATGATTTAGGGGCAAAAGTGACCCTTAACTCACTGTTTTATTATAAAAAATATAAAAAATGATGAGACCCACTGCACCAGAAAAGCATGTGTTAAGGCACATTAACAATGGGATGATGAGGTAGCACATTTTGATCATTCAAAGATAGAAATGACCCAATGTGTAGTTCAGGATGCTTGCAGATCCAAAAAAAAAAAAGTTGAGGAGGAAAAAGGACATTTAACTCTAAATTTAATTTTGACTTCAAGGCTCATATACTTGCTTTCTTATTTCTCCTGTTATGGATTGATGGAACAAGACAATTTCCCATGATAGATTTCCTTATACACGCATGGAAGCAATTCTCAAATTCAATTATCTAACCATGCAACCATCTATAGGTACATGGATGACATCTATGATCGTGTGTGGCGCTATGACGATGTTTTTAAAGGGCAAAATTGGCACCCATTCAATAGATCCGTATCTATTGATCGTGCAAGCACAAATGATTCTTATAAATTACCAGCACAAGTGTTGATATCTGCGTCCCAATCATTGAATCGCTCAGTTGCTTTAAATTTTGATACTGTTTCTGCCCTGGGTGGTACATTTGAAAAGTCATTCACCTTTTATGTCTACTTCCACTTTACTGAAATTGAGCAGCTTCGCCCTGGCCAAAAAAGAGTAATCGATATTACTGTTAATGATGAAACCATCCTCAAGGAGCCTTTAGCTCTTGAATACTTGAAACCACAGACAGTTTTTGCTGTTACAAATCGAAGCGGTATTCCTTTCAGCATAAGTGCAACATCAGAATCCGATGCTCCTCCAATCCTCAATGCCTTCGAGATTTATAGATTCGTATCACCACTAACTTCACCAACAGACCAAATCGATGGTATGCATGCGCTACTCTTTAATTCCTAGTTCGACAATTTCCTTATATTACCATTTTTGTGTATGAGAATGTGTTTGACTTTGACTCCCTGAAGCCCTATTTCCTCTTGGTAATAATAGTGGATGCCATTCTGGACATAAAAAAAACATACAAAATCTCCAAAGTAGATTGGCAAGGTGACCCATGTGTTCCCGAGGAATATGCATGGAAGGGACTTAGCTGCAGATATGACATCAACGATTCCAACGCAAGGATCACCTCATTGTAAGCATTCGCTCCTCTAACTAATTAAACTATATTTGTAAAAACTTTATAACCACTTGCCACTGTTGATCATTATTGCAATCAGAAACTTGAGCATGAGCAAGTTAAGAGGACACATATCTGCTTCATTTTCACAACTTAGCGAGTTAGAGTCACTGTAAGTATGTATTAATTTAAGTACATGAAAAAAAATCTATAATACAAGACTATATGGTTTAAAATATTTCTTTTCTTTCTTTTAGGGATTTGTCAGGTAACGATTTATCAGGATCAATACCAGAATTTCTAGCTAAATTGACAAAGTTGAGAGCCCTGTAAGTATAATTGATTGAGTTAAATTGAGTATGATTCACTTTCTTAGAGTATTAATATAATGTAAATAACTTCAAAGATCACCAAGTGAATATTTCACAACCTTTTCTAACAGTAATTTAAGTGGCAACAAGCTTAGCGGCTCAATTCCCAAAGCTCTTGAGGACAATCCAGATTTGGTAATGAGGTTTGTCATCCTAATCTAATCCTATTACTCAGTTTTGTAATTAAGTTTTTTTTTTCTTTTTGGGAATTGAACTAAAATTAATTTATCAAAATTAATTTCATGTGATTAAACCACTGGATGTATTTCAATGGTGATGTAGGCAATTTTATTTCTCTTGACTTATGCTTTCAGGCAGCAGCCCAAAATAATAATAATAATAATAATAATAATAATAACAATAAAGATTTATGATTGGTAAATAAAACTCAACACAATTACTATGTCATTTGGAATGCTAACTTACTTACTTTGACTTATCTTTCAGTTTAGATGGTAACCCCGGCCTCTGTTCGAGGGATTCATGCAAAAAGCATAAGTTCGTTATTCCACTTATTGTAGCTGTTTTAGGTTTGACTGTCATTATCTTGGTTGTTTCCCTAGGAATATGGATCGTCAAATTGAAAAAAAAGAAAGGTACGCATAAATACTCCTTATTTTTATTACTACTGGCTCATGTAATTTCCTCCTTAGCAAGTATAGAATGAAAATATGAAATGAAAATATATTAAAATATAATAAAATAAAATAACAACTTTACTGATGAAAATTATTTTTTTCTTTGAATTAAAAATAACAAAATATAACACTCATCAATATTGTAAGCATAATGGATATGCACACAAACACACGATTCAAATGAAAGAAAATATCTTCACTTCCATGACAGGTCTGGGCAAGTATTGCAAACTTCGAGCAAGCCCAAAAAAAATGTTTACAAAGTTCGGTCAAACGTTGATAACCTTGGCCAACACAATGCAAGTGTTTACACTGTCCAGTCAAATGTTGGTAACCTCGAATAAGTCTATGACTAGTTCAAGCAAGGTCTGGGCAAGGCTATGGCAAGTTTGGTCAAGTCCATGGCAGGTCCAAACTTGTCCACGGGCAAGTTCTGGTGCATCAAAACTTTCCCAAATAGGTCCTGACACATCCAAACTTGCCATGGGCCAATCCTAATACATCCAGACTTTTTTTTTTTTTTTGCCATGTTATATATCTTAATAATTTGAAAATTAATTAGGAAGTCCTTTGGTTCAATTACTTATACTTCTTAGGAAGTTACATCCGAGGAAGTTTATTACATCTTGTTTGCTTCATATTTTAATCCTCAAGAAGTAAACATTTATTTTTAAAATAAATATATTAATGTATAATGTTAATGACGTAAATATCCTTATATTTGATTTAGAAGGTTTAATTATAAAAGATATTTTCAGAAATCAGTTAAAAAAACTGGGGGAAAACTAGCTTCCTACAGCCTCCTTGATCAACAACAGTTGGATCTATCAAAAAGAGTTAGTCCCTCACAACTTTGTTAACTAAGGCTTAAATCTCAGCTAGAAGAGATATTCACATTTAGTTCCCAACCATGCATTGCATGCAATTGCGTCTAATAATAGGGCATATATGAGCAATCTAAAAAACTTCCTACCTCCTTTTTGGAAAGTTCTAATTCCCCTGCCTATATGCCTCATACCAAGCAATCCTTGGGATGTCACTCTTATCATGGAAATACATTTTATATTCTCGTTTGCGCTAAAATAATAATTGTCTGTAAAATAACTGTCTCAATTTATTAGTCACAACCCTTTGAAATAGTAGAGAAAATATCAAAGTGCTAATGTTCACATTTTTATGTAATTTAGTGCAATCTTCATTTGCCCAATTCATGACACGCACCTGACGTGAAGTTCTGATAATCATCGTCATTAACATTTGCAGTGGATTCTACTGTTTCAACGAAGCAAGCAGCATCAGAATATTCAAAAAATCGTGCCTTTTCTTACTCCGAAATTCATGAGATCACTGATAACTTTCAAAACTTGATTGGACAAGGAGGATTTGGAAAAGTTTATTTTGGAACTCTGAAGAATAATACTCAAGTTGCAGTCAAGTTACTTTCTCAATCATCAATGCAAGGTCAGAGAGAATTTCGATCGGAGGTGAAGTCGAAATCTAAAAGTGAAAATATTTTTGCTTTCTCATGGATGCCTCGTTTCGTGAGACATTTAACTAGAAACATAATTTGTTCTATATAATTAAATCGAGTCTCAAATAGATGATAAAGTTAACTATGGTCTTGCAGGTAGAACTTTTGATGGTTGTTCATCATAGACACTTGGTTTCTCTGATAGGGTACTGTGAAGGAAGTGGTGTTAGGGCATTAATTTATGAGTATATGGCTAATGGTGACCTCCACCAACACTTGTCAGGTATGAAATCTTCCTTGTAAGAGCTTTCTTTCCTTCTTTCTTTGTGTTTTTTTTTTGGGGGCCCCTTTTGCCTTTTTGGGTTGGAGTTTCTACATGTTTGATTAGACATATTCTACATAAGTAACGTCTAATAATCAATAATTAACATGGGGTTAATGAAAATTTTTGCCTGCCAACTATTTGTGTAGAAATATTTGATATCCTAAACTTTCATATGATATAATTTTATCCTTCACCATTTGAAAAACGTGTATCATACACCTTGCTGTTAAAAAAGTGAACTTTGATTGTTATTAGTTGACTGGAAAAAAACAAGACCTAAAAAATAACAAAAAGTGACCCATAAAATTGCAAATAAGTATCTTATAAGAAAATTAATATTGATTAAGTCTTTAAAATAATGATTGGTCAAAATCATATTTTGACATTTTATGTGGATAAGAAATAACATTTGTGTCCTATTATTTATATGTAATTTAGGAGACTTAATTACATTGATATTAATTTTCTTTTAAGGTATTTATGTGTAATTTTATGGATTCTTTTCTATAATTTTTTTATGTTCTTTTTGGCATTTGTAAATCAACTAATAGTCAAATTTAATATTTTTAATAATAAGAAACTAGATGCTACTGAGTGAATAGTCAAGAGGTGAAAATGCCTTTTAACCCATTAACATATCATCAATATACTCCCTTTAGTCCCTCTTATAGAACACCAGAAGGATTTTTTTATCCTTAATATAAGACAATTGGTGGGGTATTAATTACATTCTTTCAATTTAACCCCTATTTAAATTTATTAACTATGAGAGAGAAAACAATAAGTTGATTTATTTTTTCATTTGAATAGGTTTAAAATTGAAAGTTTATTATATTTTCAAGCACAATTAATGACTTATAACAACCTCTTATAGGTTCTGGTGAGGTAGTTAAAAATGCCTTATAATAAAGATGAGAGAGCATATTAAAATCCACAACAAGCTGCATTGTTACTTATAAGTCGTCTGTGAAATATAAAAATTAAAAGTTAAGCTCATGTGTTAATATTTTACTGTGGAGAAGCTTTGCATTCATAAATCAACGCTCCAGTGTTTTGCATATGTATGTAGACTCATTCGCTTCAGTGCATGTGCATTTGTGTAATCCAAGAATACCACTGTTTAACCCCTATATTGTATGGAAAATTAATGTGTGTGTGTGTGTGAGCGATTTCTAGCCCCAATAATCCATTATTTTCTTCATTGATCACCTTTTGAAGGTATATATAAAAAATAAATCTAATTATATTAGTTACACAGGTAAGAACGCGGGTGCTTTGAAATGGAAAGACAGGCTTCAAATTGCATTGGACTCAGCACATGGTAAGCAAAACTATACTTGTTAACCTTTTATATTTACAAGATGGGCCCAAAACTTTTATGCTATGTATGATAGGATTCTTTCAAATTGTAAAGGAAAATTACATATTTTAAATAAATTATGATTTTCTAAAGTATATATGTGAAAAATACATAAATAACATTTTGATAAAAAATAATTTTAAATGACTTAAACAAATAAAACTTTGATTTCATTCATTTCTTACAAATTAATATCTGTTCATAAGGTAAACTGGAGTTAGTCATACTTATATTTATATAATAATGGATAACAACAATAAATAATTGATTTTGTTATTACATACATATTTAATAAATGGAGTTGCAGGACTAGATTATTTACATAATGGTTGTAAGCCAGCGATAGTGCATAGAGACCTGAAGGCTTCCAACATTTTGCTGGATAAAAATATGGAAGCTAAGATTGCTGACTTTGGATTATCTAGAGCTTTTGCAAATGATATTGATAGTCATGTCTCAACTTGTCCTGCTGGAACATTTGGATACCTTGATCCTGAGTAAGTATTTTTTTTTAATCTATAGTATATATATACGTCTACCATAAAAATAAACTTTTACAATGGTTCTATAACCGGTGTAGAAACAACCAACATTCTACACAGGTTATTGAATCAACATAGAAAGTGACTTTTTATATTGGTTATAAGACTGGTGTAAAAAGTGCTTAGAAAAAGAGAAAAAATAGCGAGCATTTCCTACACCACTTCTTCCAAATAACCAGTGTAGAAAGTAGTTTTTGCACAATTTATCAATAGAACTAATGCAGACAATATATACATTTCTTCATTTTTTTTATTTTCTAAAAAAACTAAAAAAATTCTACACCAGTTATTTAAAATAACCAGTGTATGTTATTTAAAATAACCGGTGTAGAAGGCCAATCAATTTAATTTTTTAGTTTTTTAAAAAATAATAGCAAACTTTCTACACTCTTTCATTAGACAACCAGTGTAAAAAATAGAAGGTCAAAGAAAGGTTTACTTATTTACAAAAATACAATTGTGTACACTTTTTATATAGGTTCTTTTTTAACCAGTGTAAAGTGTGTTTTTTGTAGTGGCATGTGCATTTTCTTTCATTAACAAAACCAATAAAATTAATTTGAAGCTGCTTACAAGAAAATGGGCGTGAATCTCATGCCCACATCATGCTAATATTTCCATAATAAAATCAAACCATCCAAATTGTATTATATATTATGTTCTTGAAAATATTTCAACATTTTTCTTTTTTAATAGGCGCAAAAGGAAAACTAATATTATTCTTCTAATTGATACTTTTTAAAGAAAGAATATTTAACTTACAAAATTAATTTGTCCAAATGCCATGTCAAGGATGAAAAGCTGCGTGCTTATCCTTGAAGCGACCACTAAATTTGGAGGCAAACTGAAAATCAATGCACAACGAGCATATGAAATGAACACGATTGAATTAATTGGAAGGAACATTAAACTCATATTTTTGCAGTTTGGTTCATCAGATTTTTTTATAGTATGATATTAAAGATATTATTAAAACGCCTCAAACTAAAGTTTTACTTTGGAAGAAATCTTGATTGATGTGATATTCAATTTAGAATCATGAATGAAATTTATTCATATATCGTGTTTTTCAGAAAATATTTTCTCAATGTCTAATGTATACCAAGCAATGGCATGGGACACAATTCTAGTTGAGAAGAAAATTCTCTTCTCGAATGAAGCTTATGGAGAGCTATTTTTTGAGGTCTCACCCTTAGTTTTCTTCTCTTTGATTTTTACAGATTTCAAAATACTGGAAACCTTACAAAAGGAAGTGATATTTATAGTTTTGGAATTATTTTGTTAGAGCTAATAACTGGAAAACCAGCAGCAAAAAGACAACCAGACCATACCTTTAGTCTCCTTCTTCAATGGGTCACTATTAGACTTGGAAGCAAGGATATTCAGTCCATCATTGATCCAGAGTTACAAGGACAATATAGTTCCGATTCTGCTCGGAAATTTCTAGAGATAGCCATATCATGCACTGCACCATCTGCAATTCAAAGGCCTGATATAAGTCAAGTGGTGGTTGAACTAAGGGAATGCCTGGCAATGGAAATAAGCTTGGAAAAGATCACTAGCCACAACACCAATGATTCAAGCAGTTCCATGGATATGAGCACCTCGAAATTTGATTCGGGCTTTAGTACTTTGTCTGGTAGATAGATAATTTGCTTATAATTTGAATCCAATCTCTCTAAAGTGATAGATCTGTCTAGTTCTACTATTTCAAATTAGTTTGAATAAGCTTCTTTCTGTTGAATACAAGGCGTGTTGTATGCTGAACAATATATAGGTGGTACTTTCATGTGTATGGAGATGGAAAACATAAGACACAGTTGGTTCCAAGAATCTTATGGTGCACTTGAATTAACGAGGATTTGAATTTAAATCAAATTGCTCATTTAGATATACAAAAATTTATGAATCCATTTCTTATTTTAATTTCTTTAAAATTTCAAATTCCTTATAAGCGCCAATCATTTGAAATTTTAATCACTTTAAACATTTTATTCTTTTTGCGTTTTCACTATGAACACATCTATGACTTTTGTATAATTTTTCATTTCTTGAACATTAAAAAATAAAAATGAATTCGCTGTTCCTAATTTTTCATTTTATTTTTGAATCTCAACTTATTTCATTACCCAAAAAAGGATTTTAAATATATGGGTATTAAATATGTGATTTGAAATATGAAAGATTTCAAATCTAAAAATTAAATTTAGATCCATTAGTCCAAATGCTATCTTGAAGAAGGGGATGAAGTCCTACATGATTCCATATTATTTCAAAGCATTTGGTTGCAAGTATAGGGTCTCCATATAGGACTTTTCGTATGATAAATTTTCCTATCATCAATCCCCTCAAAAAAAATCTAGAGAATGACGATTATCAATCTTGCTGCCACAAGCACCAATCCAATAATCATATTCTCATAAATAGTTTACTGGATATGCATTTTTTGACAATTTGAAGTAGTTGCGGACAGATTTTGTAATAGTTATTAGGAAATAATGTCGGGTTTTAAAATTGATTCAATGCATGTGAAATTTTTGGGTGCTTTTAGAATTCTGTTGCCGGATATTTGCTTCTAAAACTATTTATGTATTGTAATTGCTAGCAGCCCTCCACATTTTTTTAAAGAATTTAAATATATAACGGTTATTTAATTTGAAAACAATTGTGGAACTATATAGTTGAAACTATATAATGGTTATACGAGATAACCACTAGATAGTTCTAACTACAAAGCAGTTTTATCTAGAATGACTAAAACTGGGCACAAAGTTTGCAAAAAAAAAAAAAAAACCATTATGTAGTTGACTGAAATGTCTCAATATGCAAAAACTGGAACAAATTGTATTACAATTATTTCAAATAACCATTACATAGACATCCAATAAAAGATGATTAAAATCTGTTATATGTTTGCTTGGAAAATACATGATGCTCAGATATATAGCAGTTAAAAATTATTATATATAGGACAAAAATAACTAATATTACTTTTTTTTCGTAGTAGTGGTAATAATAAATAGGAGTTGACAGCAATTTGCCAAATGCATACTTGCTATAAATTGACTACTGGGTCTTATTATGATTTTTGCACAACACAGATACACCTCATATGAGAGAGAAGAGAAAAGAATGTGTTTCACTCTATGTTCTGACTTGTGGTGGTCATCCCTATTTATGATGAGGATGATTAAGATATTTACGATGCAAGTTATTATTCCATGTGGAAAAATAGTAGCGGAAAAATGATTGTAACTGACAGGAGTAGAATCATCCAACAACTTTTACTATCTCTATTATTATAGAGTTAATATAATTTAGATCCTGAATTATAGGTTGAGTGGTGATTTATACTCTAAATTTTTTATTTAGTACATTTTAAAATTTAAACAATTAACTATAAACAATTTCATCCCATCATTAAATTTAAACAAATGACCGTTACTTTTTTAAAAAATGGAGCTTAATATGTGATTTTCATCAAATTTCACTGTCCTTTCTCTCTCCTACACTTCTTTGGTAAAAATCAGACATTAAGCCCCATTTATTATAAAGTATAAATTTAATGGTAGGAGCAAAGTTGCTCAACTTTAATTATTTAGAATTCAGAATGTATCGAAAAAAAAGTTTAGAGTTTAAATCATCCTTGGACATAGTTTAGGGTTCAAATTACAATCAAGATATTTGGGATTTGGATAAGGTCAAGTCAAATTTGACCTTTTACTACTCATCAATCAAAACTAATTTTGATGGATATTAAATTAATTACTCATTAATTTACTATTACTTAATTCAGTCAGCGAGTCTCCTTAAATATTCTGACCCATCAAGGATGGATCCAAAATCCAACAATTATGCATAGAATTGTAGGGTGGTTGATAAGTGATAACTATTGTTATCAAACTTTCGAGTTAATTCTCCAAGTTAATTGTTTTTATATTTTTATCTTATAAAATTATGTCAACTTACTTATAAATTTGAACTAAATACAAACTTAGTTAAACTTGTAAATTGACTATTTGAGTTTACTGTTTTTGCATTTCTAACTTACAAAATTATGTCAAGTAGCTCATAAACTCATACTAGATGTAAACTTGATTAAACTCACTAAGCTCATCAATTTTTACTGAGCTAACCAAGACAGGTATATATTGTGTAGAACTCGTTTTATATAACCGATAGGACCCGATTCAAAGAAAAATAAAAAGTAAAAAGCAAAAACTAATATTAATAAAAAAATACCTAAAATAATTGTGCTATTTTAAAATTTAGATGTTGAGTATAATAATTTATGAATGCCGATGTTTTTAATTTTAATGAATTATATTTGAAATAAGTGTAAATCAAATTGTCATCATATTTTATGTTTTAATTATTTAATTATATACTTTTAATGACTATTTATTAATAGAGGTAAACTTTTATGAGTTTATACTTCAAATTTATATCACATCACGAGTTTACTTATTGATGACTTCCAACATTTTCTATCAAATTGATGCATTTTTATACTTAACAGATTAAATGGAGAGCACATCATTGTGAATTTTGTCTTTATGCTTATCGTTTGCCTTAGTCTACCTTTTCCTTAATGTCGGCCTCGTGATGCATGCTTGATGGAAGGAAATTTAATGAATAGAAAGAGATTGAACCTGCTAAAATACTATTCAAATACCTTTTCTATATGCAAAGTAAGCATTTTTTTTCCCTTAAAGAGAAAAGGAACATTGTAGAAACCTTGATTCAGCTCTGGCCCAAAAACAAAAAAAAAAACAAAGAAAAAGAAAACTCTCATTCAGCTTTAGATTATTGGATATAACAAAGGGTAAGACTTATCATGACAAATGAATTTTAATGTATTAATAAACTAACAACAAAAATTTATATAGAATAAATAATCTACAAAAAATTAATATATATTAATTTAATTAAAAACAGACACATTAATTATACATAAGGCTGAGTATATAAGTTTTTCCCTATAACATATTCCCAAACGAAGTGCATGCATGGTAATTCGATTAAATTTATAATTGATGTTCCAAGTTATTTTTATTGAGCACACAAGCGTGATCCTGTTCGACATACAGTCTGATAGTAAATATAAGTATCTCTCCTTATGAGAATTTGAACTTGAGCTTACCATATTATGAGAGACTAGTCCCTTCCACTAATTCAACTAACCTCATTGTAAGGGATTAGCTCCATTCCAAGGTTTGATCCTGCTTGCTTGGAAGGTTAACCATTTTTTTTTTTTTTGGGATTTGAAAGGTTGACCGTAAATTAGCTCAACTAGAATTATGTTAAAGCTACAAAACCCCACAAACAGGAAAGGTATTTATATTATATAATATATTAAGTAAAACCCAAAACTTGTCACATAATAAAGGATTTTCTGCAACAAAAAAAATTATTTCTTTTAGAATAAAATAGTTTTATAACATGCATGGTATTAAAGTCATAACAATCATTTAATAAAAAAAAAAGTCATAACAATCAAAATATATAGTTAAAAGTTAGACTTGATTAAAAAAAAAGGTATACATTAATGTCAAAAACTATTGATATTGCAGCTGTTCATCACACAAGCTAAGTTGACAAGAATTCAAGGTCGGTACGTTTCACTACATTTAATGGACGCAAAAACTTCAAATTAGTTGTTTCTTGCACGAGTCAATGGGCTTGGATTCAATGGATGGTCGAAGTACTTGCTTAATAAGTATTTTAATTATAATAATAAGATTTTATCAATACTTAAAATTATCAAGATACACCGTCTTTCAAGAATTTAAAACAATAATTACGATGACCACCTGTCACACATACTTTGTTCTCTCCAAAAATTTAACTTTTTATATTGTCTAAATATTATCTAACAAAATTTTTAGCAGCTGTATAAACTAAATAGTTGTTATTGTGCCATACAAATGAAACATTCATTGAATAAGTAAATTTTTGCCATTCACAGAAAAATCCAGTCAACCATATGCAATTATGCATGTAAGCAGGTTACAGGACCGTTATAACGAGGGCAAGTCCAAGACCATTGTTTGGGGATAAAACTTGAAACACGTACGCCACATGCATGCACACGACCACATAATTCAGGATCCCAATAATGTTTTCTTGCCGTTAGACAAAGGGATTGTTTTCCTTTTTTGTATACGTTTGACCTCATACATTTAGGTGCAATTAATATTTTAACTGCTTTATGTCTTGAGTTTTTCCATTTGTTCACTTCTGCCTAATATATGCTTATCATTTTCTTAACTTCAATTTACTTCAAGAATTTTGGCAATGTCTTTTTATTCATTGATTAGGGGGATTTGATGAAAAATCATTAATTATAATCCTAAAATTGTGTACATTATTGTCTTATATATAGAAGAGTAAATTGGTCCCTATAGTAACTATAGTTCAAGAAGTGTTCAGAAATCTAAATTTATTTTTTTATGTAATGTTTCCCTTCAACTTTTGAAAATAGTACAATTGAACATCTACCATTAACAAAAGTTAATTTGACTGTTAGTTAATTAGAAAATGGCAGAAAATGACCTCGCAAATTACAGAAAAAAGACTGCAAAAATATGGTAAAGGATCCAAAAATCATATACAAGGACCCAAAAAATTACAAAAAATGACGAAGAAAACTTTATTAGTCATTTTTTTGTAATTTTTTTATGTCCATTTCTACTCAATTAATAGTCAAACTTAATAGTAAGGGTTATATTGCACTATTTTTAAAATTTTAAAAAAATTATTATATTAAAAATGAGTTTAGAGTCCCAAACACTCTTAGATCCATAGTTTAGGGGTCAATTTACTATTTTACCCTATATTGAAACGTGTTGGCTT